AAAAAAACATGCACAGACTTAATGACACAAATGCATGATACGACTTCGCTATGAAACATAGAAACGTCAGAGAATAAACAGACTTGAATTAAGATCTAACAGCAAACAGGTGAACACAATGGGTAACAGACCAATGACAGAACAGGGGCGGAGACAGGTGCAGAACCAAAACAAACGCACACGATAAAACAAACATGAGGGGAAATTCGTGACACTACACTGATACTATTACACTCTAAAAATAAAGTTCTTAGGATGAGACAATGATAAAACAATGAAGTATATAGATTCTGAATGGTATACTACAATTCAAGAAGAATTCAAGAAAGAAATCACATACACACTACAGATGCAGGAGACGGAGATCAGATTCAGAAAGCTATAGTATTCCTTTAGATGGTTAGATGGTGGAGAAAGAGGGGCAAAGAGAGAATGGGAGAGAGTGAGTGTGTTTTAATGGCGGAGAAAATCCAGTGTCAGCAATCCTAAACATTTCTCTCAGAGCACAAACACAGGAACACTATTCACACTATTCCTTGTCCTGCTCCCCCAGGTGACAGAGAGAGTCAGCACTTTATCAAAAAAAGCAAATAAAGACTCTATTCTCAGCAGAGCTTTGGGAGCTGATCAATATATTACTGTCAGCCTGCAACACAGCAGTGTTAGCCTCTGAGGCAATATATATATATATATATACACACACACACACACACTGTATATACAATGCAGCTGTTGTGTATTCTGTAAGACAGTCTGAAACATAGACACGTAGACAATGAAAGTCCCTGATCAACTGAAATATAATTACTTACCTTATAATTAATGACCTTATAATTACTTACTTGTAATTAATTACCATTATATACTGTAATATTGTTGAATTCTCAAATCTGATTGGTCAGAAGTTGTATAATTTACTATCACAGCAATTCTGACAGCAGTGCTGGCTATAATTTAAATCTTTTTTTTTTTTAAAGGAGATGTCATTAAACATTTATTGAAGGGGTATCCCGTGTCAGCCTTTTATGTCATGTGAAAGTCTTCAGGACAGAGGAGTTTCAGATTTCTTGTTAACGTGACAGGCTGCCGTTTTTACTTTTATGTCTTACTAACTTCAAGAATGAAAAAAAAAAAAAAGACAGGCTGGTGAGAGAACGACGGTTCAAGGCTTGTGAGCATTCCACAACATTAAATGTAACTATAAATGGTTAAAAAGCACAACATTTTGTTCATTGATAAATGAAAGACTTGAAGATGACTGTTGGCAAATTGATGTAATATAAGATGAATAAAACACTACGTGACATGCTGTTATTGGAAAATATTCCACTCTGGGATGGTAACAGTAACCGTGTTTCATCACGCAACCCTGTTGTGTTGTGTATTAATCTTTACTTAATTCATTCGTTCATGTGGTTTGGCTATAAATATGACGTTTTTTGTTTTTTTTCACAATGTGACTGAGTCGACTTACTTGTTTTATGGAAATGAGGTTAGCCAAAACAGCCTAACCTAGCAAGTTATAGTTGTTAGGTAAAATTTGCATTGAAAATTGGCTAGTATTCCTTTGAGTAAGACAATATGTACACAAACTAGTGGCACTTAAACTTATACACTGATGCCTTGCAACATTAAAATGAGGTTTTATTGCAGGAAACATGGCGTACTACAACTTTTTCTTTATATTTTCACTTATATTATGTCTAAATACAGCTACTCATTTTACAATGAGTACCGAATCGTAGCTTCACAATGTTCTCTATAAATGAGATTATTGGATATCCAGGTGTCTAAGTTACAAAAGTTTAATGTTAGAGTTAGGAGCAGGATGTATTTGTACCTTTTCTGACAACTGAATCCTATCACGTTAATGCAAATGCCAGCTCTATGCCTGCCTCCGTGTTTCCTTTCTACCTTCTCGCTATGTTGTTCTACTTTGCGTGATTAATGTTGCTAACAATAATAATTACACGTGCTGCGCCATATTGTAATACTTATATAATATTAACAAGCAGGCAAATAACTGTAGTAATTTCCATAGCACATTTAATTAGTACAAGAGGGTATTGTATCTGCAGTGATTCAGTGTTTTGATACTTGCAAGGCAGTTACGCAGCTGTCGCTAATGAGCTTTTTGATTATTACGATATATTCTCCATTCTGAAAGGCCCTCGGAGTCAAGATCTTGCAACAGCAATTTAATGGCGCTGACTAGAGCTCTCGAGGAGAAGCATAAAAAAGACTCGCGTTGTGGCCTTTAAAGCAGTCATACGCTAGCTGCTAGATTTATGCCTGCTCTGGTACGCCGTCTGTTTTGAGAAATGGTGTGCGGCACACTACCTCGTTGCCCTTTTCTCTAGCAATTCATTTTGCTGTTTTGTTTAATATCATAACACAAACTCACAATTCCCGAGTCCCATTAAGCCCATGGTGGGTGTTCTTGGGTTGCCCTTTGCCAGGAATCAGCTAATGTGTACCAGAAAACTAATCTGATCTCAGTGCAAACAGGGAATTCCATTAGCATGCTAACTAAGCTAGAGTAAATCGCTGATCTGTTTTACTCGTTCAGGTCGCCTGGCTGCTGAGAGAAACAATAGGCCTGTTAAAAAAAAGTGCCTGGTCGGGTCTCACTTTTTTCCTGTAACTGTTTTCACATCTTTCATCCTAGTGAAACTGAAAGGATGTAGATACCACGTTTATAAATATCTTTTTTTTCTATGGCTCCCGGCAGCTAGCTCATTTCTTGAAAGGTTTGAGGTGAGAGTGAAAGCATGAATAGGTTATGATATAGGGTCTTAAAATGATTAGGAGATATAGTTTTCAGATACATCCCTTAAAAACTCTTGCTATCATTGCAGCCATGACAGTGTCTCTTTCCTGCACACCCAGCATTCGGTTCAACACCAGAACAGCTTGTCTGCATCTCTGTGGTGCACCACGTCTGAGGCGTCAGCTGTGTTGTTCTCTCACCACTGAGATCAGGCCTTCAAATTCACAGATGGCTGCTGTTTTCGATTCTTCTCTAGCTTGGTGAAAAATCAAATTATACAATTTTACCCTTACTGGAAATATAGCCAAGGCTAATATAGCTAACAAGAATCTGTAAAATAGCAGTACTAGATGTATTTACTATGTTTAAGTTCAGAGTGAAACTATAAAATCATCTGATGTGAGCATATTTTGTTCATGTTTATAGATTACAGAGAGTCGCACTTCATCCCAGTAAGTCATACGGAAGAACTGGATCTAGTTTGAAGGAGATATTTCCAAAAACTGCCGATCTCCTGGGATTTTCTCGCACACCAGTTTATACAAAATGGTGCAGAAAACATCCAGTGAGTGACAGTTCTGCAGACAGAAACACCTTGTAACTCAAATAACCACTCTTTACAAGTGTGGTGAGCAGAAAAGCATCGCAGCATCTGTGGGATTTTAAAGTAACTGCGAGTGTGTTCTTCAGAAATTTCTCCCAGGAGAGAGAGGCACCAGCAGTATGTCATTAATGATCTGCTCTTGATTTCATCTCTGGAGTGCAAAGCCGTGCTGAAGTCACCTGAACACCACATGTGCTTCATTCACATGCACACACACACACTCACACGCACACACACACACACATACACAGAGAGAGAGAGAGAGAGAGAGAGAGAGAGAGACAGAGTCAAGGATGAATGGGCAATGACACATCATCCTTTATGCACATGCTGTGATCACATCAGCAAAAATCTGCTCGGCTCAATTTCCATTTCTGTTCAGCGGCTCACCGCATTAGCACAAAACACAATTCTGCTGTCGTAGTGACAAAGCAAACTTCGTGTCACAGTTTCCAATAAAATCTTTTATAAACATTTATATGCACCATAACATATCGCTGCGTATTGCCATGACATCATTTTCCTGTTTTGCGTCGCGATTGATCCACACCATTTGCCCACACCAGCACCTGTCAATCACCTGTTTTCTTCTTTGTGATGG